AAAAAAAAAAAAACAAAAACAAAAAAACAAAAACAAAAACCACTCGTCAGCGAACACGGGGATGCACACAGGGCAAACAACCCAAGTATATATTCAGGAAGATACAAGAGGTTGGTAGAGCGTCGTGTTGACGGTGGTTGTTGTCACCATCGATGCTCTCGCGTACGATCTTGCGGCCGCTTGTCTGGCCGATTCCGTTAGGCTTAGGATGACTGTGATGCTGCGCGGAACCTTCGTCGAACCTTCGTTGCATCTTCAGGGCATCTGCGTGCGCTGATTCCAAGTATCGACTCCTCCCTAGGGATCACGGTACATCTCTCCGAGGTGGGGGAATTGGGATCCGGATCAGAGGTCGCCGGTCGGGGAACTGAGTCGGGGCCCCGGCGGGGGGAAGTGAAGTCATACCTCAACCTCGAGACAAGCGGCCACTTTGTCCCTATAGTCTCAAGCGTTGCAATCGTCCCATAGAGTCCCACAGTGTCCCACAGTCTGATCAGTGTGACGCTGATCCGACCCGGAGGTGTAGCAGCAGCTATGGCTTCCGCCTCTCTCTCATCTGCCACGTGTCCCTCGTCATCCGCGGTCTTTAGCTGCCACCATCTCTCTCCTTCTCACCCTCATTTAGCGACAACGAAGTCTGTCATTGTGCTGAGGACGGCTTTCGTTGACAACAACATTTTGGTGTCCAAACGATTTGGAGTACGTCAACATCAACTTCTTCTGGTTAGCGATGTCTCAGAGTGTCGTCGTGGTGGCCTATTTATAGGTCGTCGTGGTCTATTTATAGCCGCTAGCGATGAGGCGGGTTCCGAGAGACGTAGTACTTATCGAAAGGACGCGTATGTGTCCTACACCACTGGCAAACGCTCGTCAATTGTCACTTGGGAGAGTCAGAAAATCTCCTCCTCCTCCTCCTCCTCCTCCTCCTCCTCCTCCTCCTCACACTCTTCCTCGTCTCCGTCTTCGTTCTCATCGTCGTCATCATCTTCTTCTCCCAACTCCCCTGTGGCAGGGAGGACTAATGCGAGGAGTATGTCGTTGGTGTTCGTCGGAGCGGAAGCAGCACCGTGGTCGAAGGTCGGCGGGCTGGGAGATGTCATGGGCGCGCTTCCACCTGCTCTCGCAGTAAGCATTATGAAAGCCGACGGAATGACGAACAGATACTGAGAACCTGAGATACATTGTTGATGTATGTCGCTAATTGGTCGGCACGTGTTGCCAATGGGCTGCCGTCGAGTCGTATCAGACATACCCTTAGGTTGCTTAGGCATGCGGGGGGGAAAGAGCACAAGGGAGGGGAGAAGGGAGAGTAGCGAGTTCAGGAGCAGAGGCCACTGATGGACGCACAGATACTCGGGCACAGACACACACAGAAGAATACTCAAACATGCGCACGAGACAAACACGAGAGAAAGCACACTGGAAACACAGGCACGCAGACACAC